AAGTGTGGTGATTGGTTGGGTGCAGTGTTCTTCAAGTGTGGTGATTGGTTGGGTGCTGTGCTCTTCAAGTGTGGTGATTGGTTGGGTGCACTTCAAGTGTGGTGATTGGTTGGGTGCAGTGTTCTTCAAGTGTGGTGATTGGTTGGGTGCTGTGTTCTTCAAGTGTGGTAATTGGTTGGGTGCTGTGCGCCTCAAGTGTGGAAGGAATCCGAGGAAAAGAAAGCACGACTGATGCAGTCGGGTGCAGCATTGCTTCCTTCAAGCGTCAGCTATGGTCAGTTTCTTCCACCCATGAAGCTCCTCATGAGTTCAAAAACGCTCAGTGCGAACCCCCCCCACGGAGAAGATTGCCAAATCGTCTGAGTAGCTCCTCTTTCCGGCAATTGCTGGTTAAGAGCCCCAAGACGGGATCCATTGGCGAGGGATGCCCAAAGATCTTCCTTAGTCACTCACACAAAACAATTAATTCTGCTGCTACATCTGCAATAGTCTGCATCCCAAAAACATGCACGTAGCATCGTCATGTAAGAACATCTAAAAATGCTCTTGGTGTCACAATCTTCCAACCTCTAACTGACCCTCTCAGTTTCACCTGAAAGGTGAACCAAACTGTCCACCTGGTTGCAACGTTGCACCTGGGGTGACGGAACGCACTGACGCAGTTTTCTCCCACAGTTGCCGTTTCCACATCCAACCATTGTGGGAGACCCCAACGACTCCTTGCACTAGGCCCCTTCGCCTTCCAGTCGACTATAACAAAAAGTTTCGTTCACCTGGTTCTTTAGTGTAATTGTTTTTAAGACAAGAACACATATATATATATAGAGAGATAGATAGATAGATAGATAGAGAGATAGAGAGATAGAGAGATAGAGAGATAGATAGATAGAGAGATAGAGAGATAGAGAGAGAGAGAGAGATTAATATAAAGACACAATGGTTGTTCGGGATTCAGGCGATTCAATCGCTGGGTCAGGAGTCAATTGTGTCGCCATGAGAGCCAAGCATCCATTTCCGGTATTTCTTGTAGCCCTTCGCCTCGAGACTCCTGAGAAAAAAAGCGTGGACCAGGTGTTCACCGGAAAAAGCCTCTCTTGAGATGTCATGAAATATGAAACAATGAAAAAGCAGCAAGAAGTTCAACAAATGACTCTCTTGGGACAACAGGGGATGACACATCAAGCAGAGACATCTCTTTGCATCTCAAGGTCTTGACATAGTCATCACACTGGCCATTAGTCGATGACTTTGTCAAATCCTGAGCAGGAAAGGCGCTGTCCCCACACGCTGTGGTCCTTGTTATGAGCACTAACAACAAATTTTGTTCAACACGTTATCTTGTTTTTGTGGCTGATAGGAAACCTGGAGTTCTGATGATTGAAGTGGTGACTTGCGTGAATGTGCACGACTATAGCACCAAACCTGCAACGCGTGACAAAACACGTGTTTCAAAAAGACTATAGAAAAGTGTGATAATGAGACCCATGAAAAAAGCGCAAGTACCTAAACCACAACAAACAAGCCATGCCAAACATGAGTTGAGGCGCAAATTGTTTGATCTGACCTCTTTGGTTTTGCCCGAAGAAAGTCCAGCAAGTAGGACCGTAATCAATCACACTGGGACTTCCACGCAGAAAAGTGGTCGACACGACTTGCAAAGTATCAAATACGGAGACAAATCCTGCAGAATTGTCCCATCCTTGATTTACCACCCTATATGCACGTCGAAAAAGACGGAGAATTGACATGAAAGGCTACCAGCTTCTTCAAAGTGACCTCTTTGGAGTGCCTAAGTGACCTTTTACAGGCCCAAGTGACCTCAAACAGGGACATCAAAAGGTCACTTTGAAGAACCAGGTACATTATTGGGACCCTGAGCCAGCGATCCTGCCAAAAGGAACCAGCACACCAACATAAGGTCTTGCGCGGGTCAAAACCAACACCAAACTTCAAAAAGCAACCGGCCTTAAGGTCTACAAGGCCATATTCACGAAACATCCAAGTGCTTGGGGTCCTCACTTGCCAGATTCTCTGCAAGACACTCAAATCTATACCCGGCTAGTTTAAAAAAAAAAAAAAAACGAAACAACCCCAACGCTGCCGGAATGTATGTTCAAATTGGATGCACTGCATTTCACGACCATGCACCGACCTTTGGCCAACCGGCACAACACACCCTCCCTTCCATCAACACTGCCAGATGTGTGCCGGAGCTCCAGCCAACGACAAACAGATTGACATCCCTCCACCTGTGTATCGCCCTCCTGGCAACTGGCGCTGGGTGGATCCTGGGTCGGAGCAAACCGCGACGGATCCGTCCAGGACGATGCGGTGGTTTTCCAAAGAGAGCTGAAAAGAAGGTGCGTTTGTGAGGCACAAACTCGTGGCGTTCTGTTCCCGAAGCGAACAAGGCCTCCAGTTCCAGGGGCAAGCTGTTTTTGTTCTAGTGTTTAGGAGAGAGATTTGGCGATGGAGATGGTGACAGAAAGTCGGCATCCCAATCATGTCCCAACTACTCAATACTTGACACAATTGCTGGGCGGCCCAAAAAAACGTTTCGCCACAAAGCCCGCGGGTTGAGTGGAACCTGCTGGCTGCCTGGACTCGGCGCTTCACCAGTTAGATAATGAAATCTGATTAAATCCCAGTGTCGCAAACGGCCGCTGTCTTTCCTGAATTGTTGTGCGATCCAGTCTCTTACAAGTAATGGATGTCAGTCAGTCTTCTCACTTGCTGTTTAACTTTAAACATCTTAAAACAGACCTACCACGACTCCTCTAACCCCAGCCACTTGCCGTTGAGACACAAAGTCCGGCTCCTTCTGCTTCAGCAGTTTCATCACCCTGTTTCGAAGCTCCTCGATCTCGTTCAGGTACTTCCCCGTTCTCTTCTGCTCCGGCACGAGGTCGATCTGCCGGAGCAAGACCTGCGAGCGAGCTACAGGAGGGAGGGAGAGAGAGAGAGAGAGAAGAGTACACATCCTGAAATAGTCAAGGGTTACTGTACATGATACAATGGCATGGCCCCTTGGACGATCATTTGCCGAATACCAAGTAGGCGGCGAATTCCCCTTCCACGTGAATGACTCCGAGTGTATGTCCTATGTACATGTCAGATGTTTTTTCATGTCAGATGTGGGGTGGCAACCTGCTTCTTGGCATGATCAGCTCGGAGATCTCCGATGTGTAAGGGTCGGATGGACCAGAGTACAAATAGACACAGCGTGTCGCATCACCCGTTGCGTTGCCCGTGAAAGCGCGAACGAGTGAAAAACAGACACACACTAGTAGCGATGACACTTGTTCCTAGTAGCGTCCTTGCTCCTAGTAGTAAGGCCAGGAGCCCCTAGTAGCTTCTCGCTCCTAGTAGCGATGCCAGGAGCCCCTAGTAGCGTCCAAACACATTGTTGTGGAAAAACATTAGACAAAGGTTGTTAGTCTTCAGGCAGGTCCACGTTCAATATCTGTCTTTAGTTTTGGTCTTCGGTGACCTCCCACAATGCACCTTGAGAAAGAAAGTCAGCTCGTCCTTAGTTCCACAAAGAGAGCTGCAATCAGTACTTCACTCGTTTCTTCCAGCTCTTCTCTTTCAGGAAAGGTTCAGAGCTAAGCGAACGAACATCAAGCTAAGCTGAGCTTCCTCTTTGATGTTTGTCATCAAGACCTTCACGATTGGCGCCTCAGGTTCATCAAAGAAACCTGAGGCATATAGGAAAAAATATAGCCGTGAAAAATACATGCAGGTGTATGCTGTGTACTTGGGAGGCTTGGGGCAATCAGAATTTTGGGAGGTATAGCAATAGTTTCTGGTCCTTTGCATAGATATTTGACGACTTCAAACCAAATTCACCCAAATACCCTAGGTCCCACACAAAGAAAGCCTCCACTACTCGCAGAAAGTTGCCGTCCTGAAAAGTTCGTGGAATGAATGCACCGGTGTCGGTTGTCGTCGCCTTCCGAGCGTCCGCCCTATGTCCCACCCGGCCCAGTTCCACAGCGAAGTCTCTGAGATCCAAAAGGGGCGAGTCTTATCAGCCAGGCCAGCATAAAACACCAGAGGTGTGTGTCAAGAATTATGGTACAATGGGATACAATGGGCACATCGTGACCGGAAGCAGCAAGTAGATCTACACAAAAAACGGTTGCACCAAAACGTTCGAAAAGGTTTGGTGTACACCTGGGTCAGTGCAGCGGCTGACATGGAGCGGGTCAAGCTGGGCACGTGTCCTGGTCTATGCAAACAAGTCACCATGCTGGATGGACGTCCCACCAACCTGTTCTTGTATCCCTTTGCCTCCAGCATCCTCGGACAAACAGCACGATGAAACACGTCAAAAAAATGAGCCTTTTACTAGCGAGTCATCTCTATATGGCCAGGCATGCCAAAACTGTCTACAACGGCTGTGGTGAGTAGCTTCCTCTTTAGGAAGAACAGCATAACAAAAACCAGGGAACATCCGCACACAGGCAATGTGTCTTGGTTCTTTTCTGAGTCTCACCGAATTCCCATCTGAGAATCTTGACATAAACGTCGCACTGTCCATTCACCGAGGACAACGTGATGTCCTTGGTACTTTGTGCATCCAATTTCAATCAGCGTGTACTTGTCCTTCAAGACTTGACACACTCTCTTCAGTGGTAACATCAATGATACTCCAACCTCAACTCAATCACCTAACAAGTCAACGCATGTGAAAAAAGAAAAATTGAACAACATTATATAAAATGATGCTCCAACCATCTCTAACCTATCTCTAACTCAATCACCTATCCCTCCATGATATGACCAGCGTTTTTTGCATCCGTCAATGAGCTCACTGTCACTTGGCTAGTTTGGCTCAGGGCACCAGCCATCGACACAGTGAGCGGCATCCACCTTCCTCAGTTTTTCAACCCGGTTCCACCCGGTTCCACGTGGCAAGAAAACGTGGAGAGAGGGTATCTGTGCTTCTCCACCGAATCCATCAGCTGATTCAGGATCTCTCTCCCTCTCTCTCTGACTGGAAAACTATCTATAGCCACAGACATGTGGAAGATTATGCTTTCATACCATGAATTTTGCGGTACAGTACAGGCGGGTCTGCCCCAAACAACTGGTGATTGGACATGCTACAAGTCCATATGAAAGAAACCTCTCAGAGCTGCGCTGGATCACAGGAGCCATGGGATGCAGAATTTAGACGACCTACAGCACTCCAAATTGAGGTTTTCCAAATAGAACAATCTGGTGAAGAAATGTTAAGAAATGAATATGTTGTAGATTGTTGTAGGCATAGCGAGATAAATACTAAATATACCTAAGCCACCACGCATGAGGAATAGTGTAAGATTCTGTCCGAATAGTATGATCATTCCTTCCCTATGACTTTGCAATGCTCCTGGCTTTCAACCTCCGCATCAACCTGTCTAGACGTTTCTATTCTGCTCAAAACGTCTACATTAGTCAGTCTACAAAGTCTACACATTGAGGTTAGAACCTCTCGTCCTCTCATCGAATCTGAGGGAAAACAGGTTTTCCTCTTCACCGTCGCAGGTTTTCCTCGTCTCGGGGCGTCACCGGGGTTTCACTGCAGTCGCCGTCACCGTTTTCGGCCAAAGAGTGTCCAAACATGGAGCGATCGGACGCTACGAACGGGGGCTCCTGGCCGTACTACGAACGGAGCAAAGGGCATCGCAAGGACGCTACTAGGGGTTATAGGTCGAGAATCTTCGAATGATTGAGTAGATCTCTCTGATGAGAAGACCTGTTCTTGGTTAATTATAGTCGACAACTTCAAGTCGGAAAATTGACACTCTGCACATGTCCCGTTCCCAAAGCCTCATGCTTTAACCCATGGATCCTCCTCAATCCAAGGCTCCTTCGTATCCCCCTCGTGACAGCTCACAGCAGAAGGTGGATCCTGAGTAAGGCTTTAGAATTCGCTGCACCCGTGCAGGACTCAGCTGAGCCTTCTCCCCTGCAAGTAGAAAGGAATGCAGTCGATACCGAGAGGAGTGGAACTGCAAAACGTTAGTTCTGGAAGTCTGACATCTTTTGAAGTGCCATCTGATTCGTGCTTATTCTTCATGCGTGTCAGGTCTCAATCTGCACAGTGGACCGAAGGCCATAGCAGGTCTCGCTGAGAGCAAGGAAGAAAATGAAAAGAATCTGCATGTCCTCAGTCCGACTCGGTCACAAGAATGCCTGAGAGCTGCTGTCCTTCGGACATTTTATTTGACGATAAAAGAAACAGCCACTCAACTGTCAACCCGGTCGTATCAGGGATCCCATCTAGCACCTGTACAAGGTACAACAAGGATCTCGTTTGCAAAAAAAATGTATGACATCTGGCTAGGACTATCACCCTGGAGCTCCAGCATTGCAAAACAGGCTCTCCTTCGACCACGCTGATCTTATTGCTTCGACCACGACGAATCCCTGTTGCTTCTTCAGCATTGTAAAAGGGAGTCCACTGGGATTTTGGATTGATCACGTTTCTATGGCCTTGAGTTATGGCAAGTCCGACCCCCCTCTTCCTATCAAGCCTCTTGGAGGCTCTGAAAATGAAGGGCCCACTGCAGGACAAGGATGCTTTGCCGTCCGTTTACCTTCGTAAACTCTTTTACTTCGTAGTTATTTATATAACAAAGGCTTTCTTTTATAGATGTTCTTTGATTGTTCAACCATGTTCAACCTGTTACTGCAGGCAACAGGTGCTGATCTCAATCGCCTCACTGGGTTCCGGTCATGTGGAGCTGCAGCTTGCGTTCACATCCAAAACTGTGACCAGGGTGTTCGATCTTCACCCACATCCAACAAATGGGTGTGCGTGAAGAGCCTTAAATCCTTGGGCAAAACCCCTGGGGTTCAAAGAGGGTTGGGGTTGTGAGTTAACGGATACATTTGGTTTGAGAATCTCCAAGAGACTCTTTTTCAAAGACCCTGCTGTTGAAGGTATCTTGTTTCCATCTGATAAGAAATGGATAGACAATGAGAGTATGGGTCACCTCTCCTTTTAAGTCTGAGAAATCAACTGATTAATTGGGGTTACAAAACATTGCTAACATCGCTTCATCATGTTTGGCACCTTACAACGCATGCTGACACGAACAAAACAGCTGAGAGGCTGATGCCGTTCGATATATCCCAAACGTCCAAAATACCGCTGCATCCAGCAGTGACCTTAAGGTCCCTTGTCTTACACCAAGTTGTGGTCCAAAATGTGTACGAGGGGAGTGGTCCTAAAAATGATCAAACGTGGGGGTCTTGTACAAAAAGACGTCTCTGAGAAGGGACCATTGATGCACAAGTCACATAAGTGACATAGACTTGAACCACTGTTTCGCCTGCGTCTTGCCGGCTTCCCCTCTTGATACCCACAGCCCAAAGAGGCGATCGGAGATGTTCGCCAAAGTGAGGCATCATCAAACAACGGACCGGTGTCTAGAGCCAACGGCCAAGCAACGGTCGGAAGGATGGTGAAGGCCTTCCGTGTGTCGATTCACTCCGCAACGAAAGGAGACCCTGTGACCTCCCAGGCGTTCCAACCCCGGAAGGTTCGGGAAATAGACCCGTCTACCCAGCGGCCAGGGAGGCTCCCTATTAAAACATACACCCAAGAGGTATACGTCGCTTGAAGTTTACTCATCCAAACCCGAGCGACCGAGCCACACATGCGGCCGACAGCTCAAAACATGATGCCCTCAAAGAGTGCACGTCATGTGGCATACTTCCATTGTTGAAAGCACGTCATGTGGATTCACAGCAGTCTTCCGCACTTTCCCACTCACTCACTTTCCGTACACCAGCCAACCAGGAAATTGGGAGGTCACCCGATTGTCACCCGATTTGCAAGGAAACCTACATGCCTCGCTGGCGCAGGCGACTCGCGTTCGCTCGGTCGCTCCGTCGCACCTGGGTCGGAGCCTCAGTGCAGTTCGGAGCATCCAAAAAGATCTGATGCCAGAACAAAGGGCATCGCTACGAACGGAGCGATCGGATGCTACTATGTGCGCTCCTGGCCTTAATACTAGGAGCAAGAAGCTAGTACGAGGAAAGGGCATCGCTTGTATTTTTAGTTTGGAATAAAGAGAGAGCTACTAGCGGTGGCCTCCAACCTAAGATCTGACACCGTTGAATGGGATGGACCACGCAGTGGTCCCAGCAACCTCTTGATCTGACACCAGAACTGAAGAGTCAGAAACATCCAAAGAAAAGTGCCAAATGGCCCTTTGTGACATTGGTCATGTCCAAATTGGGTCAGGGTCATAAGCTAGGCTCAACAGTGCGTCCAATTGTGGGTGCCATGAGCTCGCGTGCTGAAATGAACTCACCGGTCCAAAACTCTCCTTGATATTGAATGCAAGTGACATCTGCACCATGATTGTTCATTCCCAATTGGACTCGAGGTTCAAAAGGTCAGAAAGTTCCCTCTTTAGTCACGGAAAAGTGAAACATTCTGCAGACAAATGCTACTCTTGTTGTGACGATTTCAGGGTTGCACGGGAACTGACCAGTTGAGTGAAGCAAAAGAGTGAGTGCATCTTCGCGGGTTCACCAAACCCTGCACGACGTGCACAAGCGTATCTTTTTGTTCCTCGACAAGCTGGCTTGGAAAATCCGTCGAGAGAAACAGTTAAACCTGGTGTCCTGGCGACAGCACTCGAACGTCGCAGGACAGCTTTCACATGACATCTGCATGTTGAGCATTGTTGAGCTATGAGGGCTTTGCACAGTCCTTTCAATGCATCACCTTATACTCGTACTTTTATTTTGCCCAAGTGACCATGTACGCTACACTACCCTATAGGCATTTCCTACCTTTGCCACTCTGATGTTCTTGGGATTTCTTGTGCTTTGAAACCAGAGTCGCAGGCCCCACACTGAGAGCATGTGACACCCCAGGTGTTCCCAAGTTCCAAAGGACATCGCTACGAACGGAGCGATCAAACCCTACGAACGGAGAAAAAGGGCATTGCTCCGTTCGTAGCGAATACTGGATCTTTCTGAACAAACCCGACACAGGCGTCACATGATCCGCCCCTCCTGTCCTGTGAGACGTTGGTGGCAAAAGGGCCACAGTGTTCACCTGAATGCCGAGACACTGAATGAGAAACTCCCTTTTAGGTTGGAGGCCATCGCTCTTAGGTTGGAGGCCATTGCTATTAACTTGCTCAAAAAAAGGATTGCTATTTTATTGGTTTAATCCCGGAAGCTTTCCGTCTTAAAACTCATCGCACCGTGCATTCACGATTCCTATTGACCAAGCATGTCGACGGGGTCCTCATGAATACCACCAGGTGACCAAGATATGTGTTCTGCTACACAAGCAGGTTGATGGGGTCCTCCTATTCTTCTCAGGCTAGTAAACGTTCTATAAATCTTTCTGAATCCCAAAATCAATGCTGCCCGGTTTCTTTGCCCTTAATTCATGGAGAAATGAACCATATGATCACTCACAATACCCGGGGCTTGGAGGGTCAATTTCCTTGACTGCAAAAGATGTTCCCTCTCTGTGCCGGGGTCCGACAACAAAGTGATGCTGGGTTCTGGTCAATTGTGAGA